CGATCCCAGGACCCTGGGACCATGACCTGAGCCGAAGGCAGACGCTTAACGACTGAGCCACCCAGGCGCCCCTATACAAAAGATTTTAAATACCAGGAGCACCACTACCATCAATGGGGAGAGGAAGAGACTGGAATGTTGGCTTAATTCCCAAGTTCCTTATGGTCAATGGTCAACTGGTTAAGGTGCTGCTTTATACAAAGATCACTTGCTATCTGATTTTCAAAGGACTGAAGGGAGCTTTGTCTGTAAGGGAGGAAAAATCTACAAGGTTCCTTCCATTGAAGCAGAAGCCCTGGCATCTAGCTTAATGGGACTATTTGAAAAATGTCGCTTTAGAAAATTCCTAGTGTGTGTTGCCAGCTTTGATGAAAATGATCCCTGAACTTTTGAGGGCATTGATCCTAAGAAGACTGCAATTCGGGAGGTGTACAAGAAATTTGACTTGGGACAAGATGTCATGGGTTTTGCTGGCTATGCCCTGGCATTTTTTTTTTTTTTTTTGGCAGAGTGAAAGAGAGATCACAAGTAGGCAGGCAGTCAGAGAGGGAGAAGCAGGCTCCCCGCCGAGCACAAAGCCCGATATGGGGCTCGATCCCAGGACGCGGAGATCATGACCTGAGCCGAAGGCAGACGCCCAATCAACTGAGCCACCCAGATGCCCCTTTGCCCTGGCATTTTATAGAACTGATGACTATTTGGGGTGCCTGGGTTGGTTAAGCATCTACCTTCGGCTTAGGTCATGATCCCGGGCTCTTGGGATCGAGCCCCATGTCGGGCATCCTGCTCAACAGGGAGTCTGCTTCTCCTTCTCCCTCTGACTTCCACTCTGCTCATGCTCTTGCTCACTTGCTCTTTCTCAAAACGAATAAACAAAAAATCTTTAAAAAAAAAATAATAAAAAGAAAGATGACTATTTAGATAAACCATGTTGTGAAACCATTAATAGGATTAAACTTTACAACAAGTCTCTGGCAAGATATGGCAAAAGCACATACCTTTATCTACTCTATGGTCTTAGAGAACTTAGCCTGGGATTTGCAGGGCTAAGTGCTATTTATGGTGGTACATACATGCTCAATAAACCGATTGAAGAAATCATTGTGCAGAATGGAAGAGTGATTGGTGTGAAATCTGAAGGACAGATTCCTTACTGTAAGCAGCTCATCTGTGATC